GCAAAGAAAATGCGGAGTAACTAAATTTAAAAATTCAGGAGCACTTTTTGAAAAAAGCCAGTTTTCTCCAACGCTGGTCGGCCGACCAGCGTTGGAAAAATACACATATGCAATGGGCGGCCATTTTGGAAGGGAAAAAAGGCCTCTTCCTTCCTTTTTTTCAAAAAGGAAGGACGCTAAACAGGTTTTTTTATTTGGCCTTATACGGATGGATACTATTATGCTGGGTTTTCTAAGAGCAAAACATATGTCACAACTGAATTTCATGTAATTAGATTTCATTTCCTGGAGTTGATACCTTTTTTTTATCCTGCCAGGCTTTCGGTTTTGGTTGGATAGTCATTGAAACTAATTTTGCGGCTTTTATTTTCGGACTAGACCGGTAACGGAAGTCTTTGAAGTATGGAAGCCTATACATAACACCGTGAGTTTCTATTTACATTGATTTTCATAATGTTGCCGATGGGTGTATAAATACACACGTTTGTGTAAAGTAAAATACGTTACTCGAGAGCCACCGTGCTGACGGTAAAATAAAATCTTAAATAATTTTTCTAATAAATGAATAAAGCATCGGCTAAAAATTGATGGATTGTTATGGTATTTTTATCCAGTAATGAATGACCGGACTCACGGCACAAACGATAAACGAAGGATCGTTGGGGCTGACAGAAATTAAAGATTTATTGAAACGGCTCATGTTGGTATGCATAGCAATCTATATTCTGTAGGGTCAGATCCATCCGCTTCGAGTTCAGATCTAACCGGATATAATACACATCGCATAATGTTGGCTCCATGCGTCACGTTGGCTTAAAATATCTGTGCAGCTGACCTACTTAATTTTTTCGTACATAATCATTTTGGAAAACGAGGCTGGATGCAGAGAATTATATGTACAATAATTTGTTTTATTTCAAAAGGTATAGCATTCGAAACTGCGCGGAAAGTAAACACAATAGCAGAGTTTCAACATTAAAACAAAGTCATCAACCAAGCTGAAATTGAAAAGGGGGCGAGGTACGAACTAAATGGAAGATTTACACGCATTTTGTTTTTTAATTTTAAGGCCTTTAAAAATTATTTTGACTTCAAAAATGCAAAAACAAAGCCACATTGGTGTGATAAACAAAATGTCCACGCCGTGTATATGCCTATATCATGCATGCAGCACCGTCTTTTCCTTAATTAACCAATCGAGGACGTATAACGACGCCATGCGCATTGGAATGAAACCCCGATCATTATAATCAACTTAACAGCTACAACTCCACAAGGACGTCCAAGATTGAAATATAATGTAGTCCAGTCCGTCTGGAGTATAATCGGCTTTCTGAAGAGGCATAGTCTGGCGATACCCAGTAGCCGTTTCGGAGCATGTTGGGCCCGCTTGACAAACCGGTGTCAATGACTCTGACATTTTGCAAAGCGGTTTGGGATATTATCGTGGCGAAGAATTGAATCGGATCTTAAAAGGCATGTCGGCTTAGCACCGTAAAGAAAAACAAAAAAATTGATCTGAGAAATTAAACCAGAAATTGTGAGCAAAATATTTAAGATCGATCTCCACACCAGAACATTTTGTGATACCTTATTATTCAAATATTATGTAGAACTGTACTGATTTCAATTAATTAAAAAGAAATACCCCTTTTCTTTGCGATGATTCATTTTGTAAATGATGCGAGTATGTGCACATACATGTATAATTTGCTCCATTTATAAAGTGTATTCGCTTAAAGTACTCCTTTAAAATTGCCACTTGAAACCACCGGATGTTCTAATTTGTGAAAAGAACCAACATGCTGTCCCAATTTCCTACGGGTCGCGACAGCGATATTCAACACCAGAGCACATATAGGCGTACCTGCATAATTTCTTCATCTACAAAGTGATCATCTTGGCGTGATACATATTAAATTACTCCTCTACTTTAAACCACCCAATGTTCCAATTTTAGAAAGAGACAAGCGGCTCCTGCTGTCCCAATTTCCTACAGGTCGTGACTGAGTTATTCAGTATCGAGGCATATTGAAATTCAGCCCCTGACAGTGATGACGTTCACGCATCAAAATCAGCCAGGTATGGCTGGAATACATCCTTAGACGAATGTGAAAGGGATATTTTTTTCAGCGGGGAACATTTTCTGCTAATAGATCCCATGATCCAGCGGGAGCGACTGGCGGAACGATAATTAAAGGTGAACATGGGGAAAATGGGGAAATTTATCGATTCTAAGATAAATCGTTGAAGAAACGTTCCCCAAATATTACAACCAAACGTTGATAAAAAAAAACGCAAGGAAACCGCTTTGATTATACCTTCTGCAAAAACACGTTGTTTTGTGTTGTTAAATTCAATTGTTTTTTGCTGACGCTACCATTGTTTAGCCTATTTGTTGTTCTTCCCACGACTTTGATTTAAAAAAAATAATAAATGGTTGGATGTCTAAATGAAATGACCGATTTGTTGCAATGCTGCAGTCGGGAAACCAGACAAACAAGTCTTGCAAATAGCGAAGCAAAGAAATGTGTCCTCGAAAATTCACGAGACTACGCGAGACTGTCACTGTGGAAATGACAAGATGATTGTTGAATTTTACGTGCACACGATTAAATTTCCTCAAACTCTTCAAGATTTTCATTCATAACTCTTACCTGGTATTGATAAAAATGATAAGTCGTATAAGCGAAGCCGAGAGTAAAGCAATATACGACAGATTGATAATATTAACCTTATAGTGTGAACAAATGCAAAAATATTATTGGCACATTTAAAAGCAAAATCCTTTTAAAAATTATATATTTTTTACTTAGGGCCTACTTTTTCTACGTAACGAAATTGTAATACATGTACTATACTATTTCCTGTTGACAACTGATGGTTGCGATTTTTTTCAAGAAATAATTTTCCAACATCCTCAACTGCGGTTATCCAGGATGAACACGAGACACGTGAATTCAATCAATTGACAGATTGGATGGCGTATAGCCTATAGTCAGAGATATCAGATGAATTCTTCGAATTGGCAGTCCCAATACACGATGAAAACATAACATGTTCTTCTTTTGGAAACCACAGAAGGAAGCCCTTTACGAAATATCCTGTTCCCCATTTATTTAATTCAGAAGAGACATTGATTGTTGAATACGAATGTTGATTTTGTGGCTGTTTATCCAGGATGGTTTTCTTTTCGCGCTAAAATTGACGTTTCGATCGTTGCAAAATCGTTTTCAAAGGCAAAATGTTCTGCTAGGATCAAAATACCCTTGAAATCTCTGTCAAGTTGGACTGAATTTTTAGTCAAATTTCCACGTTCTTATAACATCAATCTTTGTAATTTTTAGGTCGCCCTAGCCTAGCCTGTAAGCAATTTGTCTGCAACAATGGTTTAAGATTATATTTTTCTGTGTGACATTGGAGGAACGTGAATGTTGCCCATGGATGTGCCCTTTAAAGGAACCTACTCGGCCGCGGCTCAAAATGTTGTGATAAATGGTCCGAATACTGACAGGGCAGGGCGACTTTTTCCTCCTTCTTTTTGTCTCTTTTGTTTGAAGGAAGGAAACGTGTGAGAAATTTATTCACCAACACACAATCCGTGACACGAACCGCCGGGTAAAATTAATGTACGTACAGCCGCAGAACTAGCGCGCGATTTGGTACCGTCGTGACAGGGTCTGTGACGCGAAGGGAGCGGCGATGTCGTGGGCTATATAGAAGGCATAAAAGTACAAAAAGGATCATTTTCAATTTGGATCTTCAGGCTCTAAAACCCAAAATCGATCACTCTGTAAGATTAAGCAGACTTGAGGCGGATTAGACACTTTGTATTTTCTGGGAAATGATAAGAACTTGACAAGGGCGGATTCATGCGGGGGGGGGGGGCGACGAGGGCCATGCCCCCCCCCCTAAAAAAAACGAAACCAATTTTTTTTTAAGTGGCGTCGCAATAAAGGCAGGCACTGCGTACACCACCATCTTTTCCTCCAAAAGATGTAGTTAAAGTGGTCAGAAATAGCCACAGATCGCAGGGGGCCTTTTTTTCGGGGCCCTTAAGAGGGCCCCGAACCCCACGCCGTATTTTTGGGACACACTTTTTGGGAGACCACAAAAATGTTTGGCCCCCAAAAAATTGTGTTCTGGATCCGCCCTTGGACCTTGATAGTTATTACCATGAATCGTGCAGCCTATTTGGATTATAATTAAACCTGCAATACATTGCATTGCATTATTCTGATATTGAATTTATTGTCAGTAATAATCTACAGACCAGTGGGCTGACAAAATGGCGGAAACTACATATCCGTACAAATTAGTCTATCGTTATGCCATCAAAGCAAAAGAACTGGTAAAAGTTTTCACGCATAGAGGCCTATGAGTCATTGCAAATTATACTGTATACTTGTGTTATCCATTCGACCTTTCCTATGTATAACCGTTTTTGTGTCAGAGCATTTTACATTATATTTATGCATCGGGAATGCCGTGAGCATACATTTTGATAATATCGACAGCAAAAGGCGACCAGACTGGTTACTTGAAGTAAACTACAATAAAGAGGATTTTGATGGAGGTTGGGTACCGTAGGCAAGGGAAAGTAACACTAGCCCCTAACGCTATCACTGTGTTTTCCTACTGTGAAATGACAAGGTATCAGACTATTGATCAGCAAAATGGCGTCGTAAGACAGAGTCTAGACTTGCATTATTTGGGGGTAATGTTGTTACCAAACTATACGCAGTATATCATAGATTTGGATGACAAGGGAATTATATTATTGCTACAAATACATAATTTCATATACATTTTTATCATAACATCAATAGCGCCAGTTTGTCAAAGCAATGCACTTTTAAGAAAAAAACTAGAATATTTTACAATCTTGCTGTGGAGGCTTGTGCATTCGAATCGATACTGCAGCAAAGTGTAAAATGCTGTGTTATTTAGCAAACTGACAAGCGAATCACCCGTCACTATATATATGTTTCTATTATTGATGTATACGAACGTGGTTGAAATTTCCACGCTTGGGGGTTAAGTGTCATGAAACATGACATTTTCGATAACGGTCGAACTCATTTCAGGAACTGCAATTGATCCAACACACTCTAAAAAGTCCCGGGTCAGATTTGACCCAGAAAAGGGTCACGTGGGGCCTGACCATTTTCCGGGTCAAAAATGGCACTTTTCTGGGTCAACATGGACACTTTTCCGGGTCAAAATGTCAAAATGACCCGGAAAATGAGTCACACAGTGTAATTGTGACCCAGAAAAGTGTCATTTTTGACCCGGAAAAGGGTCAGGTCCCACCTGACCCTTTTCCGGGTCAAGTCTGACCCGGGACTTTTAGAGTGCAGAGCCACTATAGACCTACTTTTTTTTTTTTTAATAACACCATTATAATGTAAAAGCCTTCAGAGGGGAAGATAGTTGTTTTCGATACCGTTTGAATAAACTATTGTCTTAACTGATCTTTGAAATGTTGCCTGATTTTTTCTTTTTCAAATGAGAGCAATTTGAACAGAAGCGTCAATGCTGACGTAAAGGCTTATTACATCATCTCCATCTCTGCATGCAATATCTATGTCAAAATAAAAATGCACAATCCTTCACCACTAACAAAGAATATCCGCAAGAGTCAAGATGTTACAAGGTTATTGGTGGTAGAGTGTGAGTCGACGAGACTCCGGAACCGTTGCTCCGTTCGTACCCTCCCCTGGATTTCTCGATCAGTTCGTTCTCCTCAGGTACCCGAGAGTGAGTGTTCAGGAGCTCGAACCGCGCCGCTACCTCGGCTAAAGAGCAGGACATGAGACTGTTTCTCCGTGGAGGTGGATAGAAGGTTTCCGTTGTGATTGTACTCCGATGTTGGGTTGAAATCTCCGGCATGGATCGTCTACGGGCTGGTACCGGGGTGGGGGTGGTAACGGCGTTCAGGAGGGCTCTCCGAGGGCTAAGGTGTGCCCCTCCTCCGCCCCTACCTCTCTGAGTCATACCCTGTGTCATCACAGCCGGGGTGCTCTTCCTACGACAGCTGACTTGGCCCTCTTCGATGGTCTCAAGGAGGGCGGGGTTGGAGCATCGCCTTGAGATGGAATCCTCCTTCTGGACCAAGGTAGCCGGCGCGCTGTCTCGCCGGTACAACCCCGAAGGAGGTCCTCCTGCTGCGTCCGATCTAGACTGCCATCGGATGGGGGTCACCAGCAACCGATCCTGTAAGTTCTCTATGGCAGGGGATTCTAACTCCGGTAGGGTATCCTTGTCCATCCCCTCATCCTCCTCTGTGACGCCACTCCCCTGCCTCTTCTTAGCAATTGATGCTTTCTCCTTCAGGCGAGATGTTGCTGATGATGATGATGATAACGAGGATGACATACCGACGTCTATGTCGTCAAGCGATAAGGAACGAACTCTGGAATGATCCTGCATGGTGGTCGACGGCTTCACCTATCGTTAACTGACAGATGAATGTTGGCCTTAATCATCAACATCCTGTACCACTGTACAATAGTCCACGTTTATTTCCTCTTTCGATAGTGTTACACTTCAGGTGAGGGTCACAGACGCGATACTAAGCTTTATGTGCACAGGAAAAGACTTGACGTTCACACTATGCAATTTCAACTGGTTTCAGTACGTGCCAAAGAAGATGTTTTCAAAACTACTCACCTTACTAAATCCACAGATCTGAACACTGAAGATATAAGGAGTTGGGTTGATGTTTTGAACATCCTTACGTTTCATTTAATAGTGGAGAAATATAAAAGTCGCTTTCTACAACGGTGGTAAATTGTGGTCTTTAATGTTTATCTTCCACAATATCAACGTCTTCACGCAGTGTATTCATCTCGGGATTAAAGCACAACACATCCAAAGTGGGCTATGAACCCACGACAAGGTTTGCCAAAACACAGAAGCACTCACACAAAGTGATGGTTTACTGTCGAACTGTTTATAATCCACTTACTAATATAAGCCTTCTGAATAGTAAAGGCGTTCCTATTTGACAGACAGGCAGAGAATCAACTGGATATAAGCAAGAGCAATCTTACGATAACGGCTGAAACTGTTGACCGTTCCTCAATTGCTCTCGAGTTTTTATTCCCCGAAATCCCCTTCACAGCTACTGCACGAGTCACCAGCAGAGCTGTGAATCTTTATTGATGAGAGCCCAAAACTGACGAGCAATTCACAGTGGCTATGGTTCCCGGGACTCTCCGCCGTTGTTTACTCATCCGTCAGCTTGCCGGCGGGGAAAAGGTTGAAGCCACTTTAACCATCTCTCTGCCGCTGATGACGGCCGTCAAATAATCACACACTATACGGCGAAATCAAAGTGTCCTCAAGACAGTCAATCTAACCGGGACACAGGCTCGAACATCTGCGTCCCCTTCAGCGATAAAAAACACAGCCAGCACCCAAAAAAACCCTGGTGCTTTTATTATAACAGGCGCAAACTTGAGGTCATTCATTAGACGAATCCCCCGTTGCACTGGCTGACACGACTATTGCATCTCATTTTCCAACCAGGGTTAATATTTTCCCAATGGTTATTAAAATCGTATGCGCCGAGCATTGATGCGTAACCAACTAGCGCTCCACCGCTGCGTGTATAATGTGCATGCAGATTATTCCTTTTTTTTTTAAGTACCATCGGTCACGCAGGTAGGTTTTATTGGACAGATGATAGCATGGGGTAGGTCACTGTTGCAAAGTCCACACTTTGTGCCTACATCGTTGATCACAAGATGCTCAAAATGTCAGTGTTCTTAGGTCTCCTTACCGTCTCGGTCCTGCCTCCTCACACCCCTGGCTCTCTCGTTGCCTCTCCCCTCGCTAGAGCCGATGAAGAGAAGCGATTTGTTTTGCTCCAATGTACACATCTGATGATAAGGTTGTCATTGATCGGGAGATGGAGAGAGCTAGGTGGTCACGTGATTCGTGTGTCATCGCCAGTCAGGTTTATATGCGAGGGATGCAAGAAGAGCATGTCTCGGGAGTAGAGGTTTATTCCTCCTCCCCAGGGGCCGATTGGCAGGCCCTTCCTCGCCTCATCCCTGAGATGGTTCAATAATAACAATCACCTTGGCTCGCATAAGCTAGCAATCGTGGCCGAAATGGCACACATTGGGGACATGCGCACATTACGCATAAGCGACCGATTTCATCACATGCATTCTTTATGCATCGGAATTGTGTGTAGGCGGATATTCGCTGCGATATTACCAAAGGCAGAGTTGACTTGAACTCGGCAGGCGCGAAGCTGGCGCTAAAAATAGAACGCCCTCTAGTGTTAAAATATGCAAAGCGCAGTAATGTGGAAAGACTGGTGCTAAAATAAACATGGAAGATATTATTGTCTGGGCACTTGTCAGCACGTACGCCCTTGGGTAGCGATCCAATTGTGATAAATTAGTCTGCCTGTATGCGTGACACGATTCCAAAGGACAATATATTTTATTTCCAGGTTCCATTGCTCTTAACATCTTTTAGTTTGAATCTTTTCTTAATCAACCTTCGTTAATTTTAAAACTCTGATTCCTGTTTCCTCATTCAGTTCTTATTAAAATAATTGAAGATGAGTAAGGTCTTTTTATTTTAATCAATTTAAGCAAGATTAGATGCCTTACGTCAACAGGGGGCGCCCTGCAAGTAAACAACATGTGAAAGTATGTTTTTGGTGTTACACACTCTTTAAGACATCTGACAAGAAACAATTTTTTTTAGCATGGTACTGTATACGGAAACGTTTTATTACTTTCTTAAATATTGTGGTAACAGACAAAGTGCACTTCAATAATTTAACTTTGGAAAGTCAATAGAAAATACATAAAATATTCCATTTCATCCTGGTCTGTACACTTAGTTGCCCTGGCAACCGTTGCCCAGCAACGGGCAACTGTTGGTGTCTGAGACGACATAACAACACAAGGTTTTTTTTTCAGTGTTATTTTTCGTTTTCAAATACGAAGTTGCTACAAAAAAATACAATAAAGAACAGCAATTTGAGATTTTTTTTTAACTTTTGATTTCTGGAGAGGGCAGTAATGTTTTTGTTGTTGTCAATACAAAAAGAAATTGGTTTATATACAATAATTACAGGCCCAACAAATTTGTAATTTAAGCAATATGTATAGGCAGCACAGGAATTTGTAAAACAGTTCATGTTCATTTTTAAAAAAAAAAGTTTTATTATTTAAGCACAGATGAAGAAATTTCAAATAAAAATTATAAGATTCCACTGATGCAGCGGACATAATTATTTCAAAAACCTTTTAAAGTTTTGTTCCATGGATGAATTTGGTTCAAGCTCCTTTAGGAATTTTGTTCTGGAAAGATGGTCAGGTGTTTTTCAGCCACACCTTGGGTTTTTGTCAGTGACACACCCAGAAGACTTGTTGCCATAGAAAAAAAAAACAAATACAGTTTGGATGCCATTTTGTTGGGTTCCCAGAAGGCATACTGATAAACACTATGGAGTTGGAAAACACAGTACAGCACCAGCCTAGCTTAAAACAGGTTTAATTTTGAGACTCAAGACTTAAAAGTGTGAAACTTTTTCACTTCTCCAGTCCAGCAATTTTTTTCTGCAACCAGGTAAAGCCATCAACTGTAATACGCATGTGTACAACTTTTGCATGATTGACATAATATATCAGTGGGTTCGGAAGTAGTGGGTTTGGAAAACGTGATTTTTTTCCCTATAAATTGTTTAATCAAGTTCTAAAAATGTTGCCTCTTTTTTCTGATTTACAGGAATTTTTTTGTTTTTTGTTTTAAAGGGAAGTCCAAGAACCATTCCTTTAACAACTGTCGCATGCGCATTGTGGTCAGTGACTGAACTTGGTTGTAGAGAAAAAAATTGCCTCCAGTCCCTCGATACATCATCATATTATGTACATGTAAAGTCACCATATTTATCAAGAAGAGCAAAGTGCGATCATTTTTGGTCAGTGGCGCACCCAGCGGGGGGGGGGGGGGGGGGGGGGGAGGGGATTGGAGCCCGCCCACCCACCCCCCCCCCCCAAGAGGTTGTCTTTTTTTTTTTTCTTTCTTTTTTTCTTTTTTTTTTCAGTCCCACGATTTGACCTTGGTGAGATGTATGTGGCCTTTTTTCGAGTAGTATAATAGGGGTGTAAGTGGCACCACCAAAGTCAAAATAGTCCCCCCCCCAAAAAAAAAAAAAAAAAAACCACCTATTTTTTATGTGGCCAAAACTTTTGGGCAAAATGTTTTGAAAAAAAAAATTACTTCTAAAAATTTGAGCCCCCCCCCCCCCCAACCAAATCCTGGGTGCGCCACTGTTTTTTGTGTAGAATTTGAACTGTTCTTGAACACACTGAAGAAAATCAATACCCACTTTTCAGGGAAGTGTCCGTAATTTTGTCCTAAAAGATTCTGCCCCACAGTTATGAGCTGGATTTTCTACAGGTTTCAAAATAAAGTACACTAAGTAACAGGCTTTTCTCTGGTCAAGCCTAATAATGTGATAACGCCACTAAAAAGCAATAGCGCCCTCTGCTGACAGAAAGTTGTAAGAAGCATTTTTCACGAGAGGAATTTTAGGGATTTGTTAATCGCCAGAATAGTACATGCATATTTTTCTCAAAAACAAATGATAGAAACTGATTAGAAGTGTGGCTTTTCAGGTCAATATTGGCAACTGAATAAACATGCTTTTTCCTGCCACTTTTCGACATCTACCAATGGAGGGTTTGATGCAAATAGGACATGGTATTATTAAATGCAGTACAGTTTGAAAACTTCTGCATGAGAAATCGACTATTGCATTCAGTTCTTGTTCAACAGGGACAAAATGAGTTGTGGAAAAAAATATCTGAGGCTCACTAGAGAACAATATGTATTATCTGACATGTTCTGGTGACCATTTCTATGTTTCAAAAGGAGGCATTTTCAAAGCCCTTTCGTGAAAACGATTTCTAACACACTTCTTATCATGGATGGATTTGAAAGAGACACATGCTTTGATGGGAGGGGGAATCTTTAACTTAAGAAAATGAGTGACAAGATTATAAGTAGTGCAAGTATTTCCAGGATGTGTACGATACTGAAAGGGTTAAGCAATGAACAAGATGTTTGCTACAATTGACAAGAAAGCCGTCTGCTACTCAGCTGATAGAATAAGCATGTTGAGTTTCTTAATTTTCCACTGACAAAGCGGAGTCCCTGTGACATTTCCTCAATAGAGGGAGCCCTTTACACAAAAAGGCAAACTGCCTTCAATTACAAAACAAAGTTGTAGAGTTTCAAATAACAACACGTAGACTGTAAAAATTAAATAGTATGATAAAATATAGCCATCATTGTTTGCGATCATAAATAATAAATAATTTATGAAGGAATATTAATACATGAGTCACTGACTCCAGAAAAAAAGAATTTCTGACACTTTCTAGCAAAGATAACTACATGATTATTGCTAGTCATTTACACAAAGTTTTTGTGAGCGTTGCCTCAAATTCCAGTTTATTTCCTTATTGATGATTTCACAGCGACTGTTCCTTTTTTACCAAGGAATCTCCGCGATTCGCTTTATTCTCCTAAGCTGTAATATTAGCCAATCAGGTTTCTGGTATGAATCATGAAATGAAGTCGCCCAATCAGAATCGAGTTTCTAAATACAAACTTTATAACAACCCTTTGTCACAGTCTCGAATTCAGTTTTAGTAGTTTTCGGCAAAGCAAAGGCACGAACATAGTTTAGCAAACTCAACAAGCATATATAAGGCTAAAATGCCCTTTGTAATATCTTGGCTCAACCGTTCGGTAAACTGACATCTGATTGGTCAAAAACCAATCACGTGACCCAGCAGAAATACTCCAGCGTTTTGTGAAATCACCAATAAGTGTCTCGTTAGTGCCGCCCAGTTCATACTGACTCCAGAAACAAAGCCACATTTGTCGATGACACTTAATAAAAAAATTGAGACAGTCGAAGCCAAGGTGCATCGTGGGAAATATTTCACACCGGTATCCATTGCGCGTTGGTTCCCTGTGCTCTCATTTGACAGACGGCAGCATGCCTCCGTTTGGGCCGTTTGACGCAACCCAAGCTGTGAATACATCTCTGCAAAAGCCACAAAGAAAACAAAAATCACAATAAACAACTGCTTATTACACAATTTTTGACCGGTAAGCTGGTAGGACACACACAGATACAAAAACAGGCTGACATTTGAGATATAACAGGCTATAACGGGGTGTAACGGATAACTGCTCGTGGAGGGCAAGTTGACGACATTGGAGAATTACCCTCATAATGGCAGCCTCTGATTGCGTTGAGTCTAAGGTTACATCGGCGGCAGGATTTTTGTCACAATGAGTTGAAAGGATTCCGATAGGGGAAATTCGTGGTTTGAGAAGCGTGTGGGAAATAGGTTGGATCAATTGGATTTTATAAATTGGATTGCGGAATCTATTTGCCAGTGTGAGTCAAAGAACATCTACTGACAAAGGAATTTTTTTAACTGGCGACCATTTCAATTTTGCGTCACAATTTTGTAATACAGTCACAATTAAGTCAACCAAAACTGGGTTTGAAATAGAAACCAATTTCACAATGTCAATTTACAAAGTGGTCAAAATGTTTTTCATAAGTTTTACAATTCCAACGTTTTGAGCATGACTTTTTTAGCAGAAAAAAAGACAAAAGTTCTTTTACAATAATTTCCCCAATGGTACAGTAAAAAAGGAAACAATAAATCGTAGGATGCTAGATAGTAATTAACCAGATTTTTTTTTAAACGCCCCATAAAACAACACTTGAAACACAGTGGAAAAGACAAGTAACATTACCAAGTTTTGTTAGAGTGATACGCCATCTTTTGGGTCGGGTCAGCGCTCAGTTTGACCTTTGACCCACGCATATGGGGGAAGACCCTCCCCATCTGTATACCTCGACCCCGGCAATGCGTAAGGTGTCCACTCGTGTCTATATTTCTGTATTCTGTGCACAACAAAACATGGGAAATATAGACACTCCGTAAGGCCGGCAAACAAAAAAGTTCCAGTTTTCTGGTCTGCAAATACATCGCAATCAGACCATCACACGACAATTTCGTAATTTTTCTACGACGAAAACACCTCTGACAATTCAGCCAACTTCAAAATGCAAGTAACTTTTGGCTTTGTCGTAGAACATAGACAGGATTATTCTTTTTGAAAATGTTTAAGAAAATAACGACTAGTCTACCACAAGAACACACAAAAAACAAAAATCTATCACAATATCACAAATTCTGCAAAGACCAGAATTCTGGAACTTTTCTGTCAGCTCAGGAGTCGGACCAACCCCACCCCCCATCTAAATCCCCATGCCCCGCCCCTACCACTAACACACTGAACTCATGCATGGCATAACTCTTACCTGCAGTGGTCCACGACGCATTCATTGCTGCAGTACTCGTTGTCCCAATCTGGGCTTTCTATACTGGGCTTGTTGCAACCGTTGCGGGTGCAGATCTGGTGATTGTGGGGCGGCATTCCGTCCATGCCCATCTACAGAAGGGAGGGGGAAAGTGAGTTACAGAACAACTTCTCGTAGAGAACTACACGAGTGCTATGCAGTGGCAGCTATTTTGCTTCTATAAGATTTGAGGCTTTGCATGCTGGAGCATCGGTATCGTTTCGGTTTGCGGTAACACCTTGTGGTAATAACTACTGCTTAGAAGCTATTTAGTTCTGAAAAGAACTTGTCCTGCTTATTATTAACTTTCGCTAAGTAGTTTTTGTTTTGATAAGAACAGTCCTGCTTTAAGTTCTAAAAGAACTTGTCTTTCGTCTCAACGTTTCGACTAGCCTGCTCTAGTCATCGTCAGGAGACATTTTGCTTTTCTTACACACAACTCTTTTGTAAGTTCCTTGACTTCAGCTTTCAGAATTTACACATAACCCCAGTTCAATCAGATGTTTCAGCCATTATCGACACACAGGCTCCAGCTGTGGTTTGTCTAGATCCAACTGAAGCTTCATACATGAAGCAACAGAAGAGACAAAGACATAGCCACAGCTTTTACAATCCAAAGCCTGACATTGTGAAATGGGTACTCAAACTGGAACCATGGTTTGGAAAATGGCCAGGCTCGACAATAAAGGTTGCCCTTTTTTTAATTCAAAGCCTGGTGCTTGAAACCATTACAATGTAGTCTGACTCGTTAACTTTAGGAACCAGACCAAAATTACGTTCAAGATAAAGGGCCATTGTGATATTACCGAACATTTTGGTTTAATAATCCACAGATGTGTCGTCAAGTAGAAAAAGTTTGTATGACTGAGCCAATAGAGGGCGCTATTGCACTCACCATTGGGTGCGTCTTGATGACCCGCTGTGCTGACGGCATCTGGTTCAAGCCAGGCTGCATCATGGGCTTAGCTGCGGATGCCATGGTTACTGTAATAGGCACGCCGGTTACTATGGGCTTGGGCGCGATGATGCGCGGTGCGATGTGTGTGTGGCCGGCTGGGGTAGGGGGCGCCACGGTGCTGACCGGCGCTGCTGTCGTTTTCTTCTGTTTGCTGGGTGATTGCTCTTCGATCTGTGTCGTGTCAATTGCAGCCTAGATTGAAAGGAACCCAAAAAAAGGAATATTGCAAAACACTAAGAGGTAGCTGAAAGAGTAAATTCTTTGAAAAGAGGAGTTTCAAAGTCATCCTGATAGTCTCTGTGGGGTGCTGTGGTCCAATGGTTACGGTGTTCGACTCGTGTGCCGTGGGACACGGGTTCGAACCCTGACGGGGAACATGGTGCTTGTGCTCTTGGGCAAGGCACTTTACTGCGATTGCCTCTCACCACCCAGGAGTATATATGTTTATCTGTGAAGGTAGAGACCAATTTGCGCTGATTTAAAGCTGCTGCAGAAAAAAATAGTCTCATTCCTGATGAACTGGGATAATAATTGTGATGCGTATCAGATCATATTCGTGTGGAATTTGCGCAATATAAACGTATAAATTATTATTACTATCTCTTATCAGATAAACTCTCATCATTTTTGTAATAATTACCTTTGAAACTAAACTTGCTCTGTACGCTGCCAGCTTTTTCAGGTATTCTTTCTTGGCAGTTTCTGTTCGTTGTTTGTAAGCCTGCAAATAAAAGACAAGAAAACGTATCAGTCTGAATAAAACACACAAAGACAACAACGTAAAGTACAGCTTCAACAGTGTCACACCACTACATTCTTTAGCAGACCAGGACCATTTTTCAAACCGTGGTGTCATCTCGGGGGTTGGCTCCATCTATGGCCCAAGAACTGTTTATGAGCCTTTATTGTTTTAGAATCAAAGGCAAAAATCCAGAGATTGGCTATATATTATGTTTTGCTGTTCCTCTTACAGACAAAAAGAGCCCCAGCAAAATTTCAAAAATCTGGGTCTAGAATCATGACGCTAGAAGCCGAAGCCACAGACAACCCTAGGTTTGGAAAATGGCCTAGGAGTCACTACATCTCAGCCAAACTGACCTGTTTTTGTTCGGTGCCGAGACTGTCCCACATTGACGCTACGATCTTGGAGACCTCCCCAAAGCTAGCGTTGGGATTCTGACCCTTGATAGCGGCCTGGGTGTCCCTGAAGAACAGCGCGTAGGCCGAGACGGGCTTCTGGGGCTCGTTAGGATCCTTCTTGCGTTTTCTCTTGGGGGGCTTCTTCTTCGTTTCTTTGATTTCAGGCCTCTTGGCTGCAAACTGTTACAAAATAAAAGAAGTGGAAAAGAACGTAGATGGGATTTTCAATGAATAAATTGCAATTTAAAGAATATTAAACAAGACTGGTTGAGCTTAGTTGAGCTTGACCAGGAAGTCAGTCAGTCAGTAAATACTCGTAATATTCAGGAAAGTAAAGTGCTCTTCATGTCCCGGAATAAAAGATTTAAAGGTGTCTTAGCATTGAAAAAATTATCAATTTTTTTCCCTCTCTTGAAGCCATGAACAGATTGATAGAGACTACTAACTTACCATCTGAAATTCTATTATCGACAAAATAATTGGGAAAAAAATTTACTGAGAAAGAACAAGATAAAGTGGTGGACTACAGTTGACCACAGTTTCACCAACTTCACTTAATTGCAAGCTAGTCAAAGACGGTCCGACTAATCAAGTCAAATATTTTGCAGAAGGGCCCAAGGCATAGTTGCATTGCTGGTTCTACTAGTGGTTGGACAGTAGCTTGTGAGAAAACGTGCTCAGCAATGAATTTTAGGTGACAGGTATGATTTTTAGAAATTGTATCGTGTCCACTCGAATTGTGAAATATAAAATTTTAAAAGTGTGACTTTTTTTTTAAACATTTATTAATTTGTTTTTCATTTTAACGCACCTGTGCCAATGGCGTGTTATCATCACTATCCTCGCTGCTTTCCTGGTGTGGTGATCTCGTATTCCCCGGACCCAGATTTTTACCTAACGTTGGATGCCTTCCCATCATGCCTTGCCCCGGTTGCAGACCGCCGTGCATGCCGAGCTGAGAGCTGATCGCTGACTGGTTGATTGTGGACAGCTGACCCATGTGCTGGTTGGAATGTGAGTCCATAGAGAACAAGTCCATGCCGTGTGACATGTGCGGCATGTGATACGAGGGGCTGTAGATCTGGGTGGTCGTCGGACCCGAATGGCTGAATGAAGACACTTGGGACGGCTGCATCATAGCGCTCATGGTACCCAGGCTACCGGTAGACTCCGTGATCGGGGGAATGTCGAGATTATGAGGCGGGAACTGCGGATTGACCAACATGGACGTGGTGGCCGGATTGGGTAGACTCTCGGTCATGTGACTCAACGGTTCCGTAAAGGCCACGTTGGACATGGTGTTGGGGAAGTGATTTGCGGGGTCGGTCATGGTGTGACCGTGGGTAGGGGAAGGCAGCGTCAGGGCTTGTGTCAGGGACTGTGACATCGACGGCGAGCACGACATAGGGGGATTGGAGTGATTGACGGGTGATGTCAGCATCTGTTGGTGCTGCATGGGGGGCGGGGTCTGATTACTCATGGAGGAGGGGCTTGACATGACCCGACGGTCGTGCATGGAGTCCGTGTGGTATTGGGGCATCCCCTGGCTGCCTACTTGCTCGCTGACGGGCTGGGCTGTGAAGGCGTGGTCTGTCATGGTTGTGATGTTGCTCTCCCCCATTCCCTGGGATATGGGTGGAATATCAAACTCATCATCCCCAAAACTAGGAGTGTGAAACGTCTACGGAAACAATAAAAAAACAGAGATCATGCTTATAAGAAATAATTCTATGAACCTTAATATTTTCAAAACTTGATGTCAGCAGCGAGGTATATTTCTGAGTTATCTCTACATGTACCACAGAAAAGTCCCCTTTTACCCCGTCCCCTCAAGATGGCTGACACAATGAAGTCGGAAAAAATGTAAACATAGTTTATTGGATTCAGTACATCCTAACGTTTTCAAAAATGTATAGTTTTGCTGATCCCTCCCCCAAAAAACCAATGAAAATACATTATGAACCTGACTAAAACCAACTCGAGTCAAAACTCAGTTCAAAATCTCAGAATTTCTATATAATGCAAAACACTAGTATTCTGTGTGCTCTTTCATAATACCTCATTGTTTGGTTGTTTTCCGAGGAAGTCACAACTTTAAAATTGAAATCAGTACGACTAAAGCCAGAACGTTACATTTTGCAGAACCTTTGAGATATATGCATTTGGTTAAAAAACAGTCTTAAATCAAATTAAGAAAAAAGCATTTTTCGTTAAGGACTTAGAAATCTTTGACCTGTTCCACAGAAACTCATCAGATTTTCAAGGTATAAAAAGTTCTGAATTTTCCTGAAGGTGAACATTCACCTTTTTCAGATTTTGTTTCTTCAAATCAGAAGATAAAGGAACTTACTTGTGAAGACATATTGGTGCCGGCCACAAAGTTGTTGTTATGGGGGACACCGGAAGGACTGCTGAAGTTAAATCCGTTGACAAAACTGACTGCTGGTCCTTGGCCCTGTAGAAAACAATCAAATGAAAAAGGGAGAAAACTATGAGACAATTTATCAATGAAAAGAAACATCTTCAGCATTGCTGTAAACAGAGTCGTTATCAAAGCTTCCAATAACAGGACAGCTTTTGAACTGTGTGAAGAAAGACATGGACCTGTACACAAAAATAGGCAGGCCACGGTACAATTTTGGACACAAGTGAAGGAAAATGGTACATCCACTCCTACCGGTACAAAAATTGAAATAAAAGTCCTGATCAAAGCAAAGTTTGAATCTAGCACAAGGCACGCATGATGTCAAATTCAGCGTCACAAGATGTGATGATAATCAAGTCTGCTGCCCTCTGTTGTGCAGAAGTGGAAAATTGTGATCAAGGGTTTTCTCATTTTGGTTTGTTTAAAAAATGATTTCAGGAAATGTGCAACATGGTGTCATAGAAATCGTAAATGCGGTACAGAATGTAACAAAATCCACACACATTGGAAGCTGCATTGTCCAATGTTCATTTTCCCCTGCCAAAATGTCCATCGATTATAAATCAATACACTTATCAAAGCTTTTGACAAAATTTAATAATATCACGTATCGTACCAAACATCTGCACAGAATACATAAAACAAAAGTAACAAGTCACGCTACAGGACAAAAACAACGAATCAGTCACTTTAGTTGTAATTACTTTTTTATCTACAAAGGAAACTACTAAGGATAATTTCACCGTGTTTGCCTGCACTTTGATATGAGATGAGTTAATCAGTGATAGTGAATCATCAACAACGTTTGCTCAATTATCATTGCATCAGAAAACAGAGTACTTTCGATACAATTTTTTTTTTTTTAATCAACCGGAATATTACACAATTTTTTAACATTTGAGATTAATTAACCCATTAGCACTTGTAGCGCATTGTATTACATTGTGTTTACTCACTAAAGAATCAATCAAACCATAGAATGCTCGGGCAGTTCTGGGCGATACAGTGAGTAATATGGCGGGCAGTTTTGGGCACTACAGTGACTAAAGGTAAAAACACACACATCTAAATTTTAAGCTGATCTGCTTCATACTGTAAAAATATTACCAGGTAGATAAAAAGTTCAAGTCACAAATTGATACTTGAGATACATGTAAAAAGAAATTGCACAAACGATATTTGTTTGGTGTCCAATTCATTTTAATTGATCGCCACTGTCATCAGCCTATTATGTTCACGTATACATGCGCACTTAAGAGAAATAATACTCTTTGAGAAAAGTATTTTTCCAGAGTGCGCAATAACAAACGATCTTCCATCATGGTTCGCCCTGACAAGCTCCAAGATCGCTAGTCCCAACTCTTGAGTTAAAAAAAAAAAAAAACCACGGCTTGACAACCCTGTTTGCTGTCGACGATGGACGAGAACGATCCATCTTTGTCGCGAGGGAGAAACATTGAGCGAGATGAACCGGTCTTTGCACTTTGCTAGTCCAACTTGCTTAGTTTCTCAATCTTTTGAGGTTCATGCATTCGCGCGTGGGCTGCTTGCACTGTGGATTAGTCCTATTAGGGCAATCTTGTTTCAAATTGAAGACACGAGTGGGGCAGTCTTGGTTTTTTTTCTTGTTTTAATGTTGTTGTAAAGAGGATCTTAACGAGTGGTTTGTAGTGAGGGAATTTGCTTGTTAAACAAAAGCGTCATCGCTGAAATTGTCTCTGGCACTTTGCATCTTCACTAACGTTAATCTTCATCGATTTTAAAGTACCTTGTGGGAGATTTTTTGTTTAGGCTTTAGTTCCTTGAAAAGTGTGCATTTTCGGTGTTTGATTTTTCAATACTTGTCCTGTTTCTCCTTGCAAAGATTCTTGATCTTGAAACCAACGAAACAATCCGACAGAAATGCTTACACGAAAAGGAAAAGAAAAAACACCCCAAAACAACATAATCTCTGCCACGAAAACCTAAAATTGGTCATGATCATCAATTCAAAACACGTCAGGATTCAATCGAGTTGTATTTGGATAAGGGCTTTCAGGCACTGAGTCACAACCATAACAAAATATCAATTTTCAATAAAATGTTTTACAAAGGGAAAAAATTATGAGCTGCAAAGATATCATTTTTGTGTACATCTCGTACTGAAATTACACACTCCGATAACAACATGCAATATCACACGAGTGCATGAAACTTTAATGCTCGTACATTTAGAAATTGTCAGGATGGGTAAGAAAATAGTGAATGAATGAATACATATACCGGTATGGTCCTGTAATACAAGTATGATTTTGTGTTGAAAATATTAATCATTCATATGACTAACAGTCTGTCTAACTGATATGGATGTAGCGGCGCGTTAGCGGGGGACCGCTTTCCACACGTTGGAGCCGGCCGTCGGACCCGGCCCCCAGAATGGATCAGGTGGCGCGTTTGGCAAGGTAATTAATATCGCTGGGAGGACTCAGAAATTACACAGGTGAACGGAGATGATTGGATTGGGGGAGGGGAAAGGGGGGGGGTGGGGAAAGGGGGGAGGGGAGAGGGAGGGGGGTCTCCTGTTAGATTGCACTGTGTTAAAGCAAAATACATTTAGTATATTGTCGGGGTGGGAGGGGGGGGGTGTTGGAATCTATTCCAAGATGACAATGTGATAAGCACAGTATATGGGTATCTTGTCGGGGGGGGGGGGGGGAGGGAAATGGGGAAATTGGGGGGGGGGGACACAGGGAAATTGGAGGGGGGGGATCAAGGAGGGAGGGGGGTGAGAAAAGTGGTTGTGGTTTACATGTATACTAAAGTAATCCTTGGTACTATCTTCGATGTTTAATAGAGGGAGCACAAATTAAAAATTATGGCCGACAGGTTTGCAATTAGTAACATACAGGGGAGAGTGCATTGAGGAGTTTTTACTTTAATATTCAGACATGGCAGATTTTCTAAACTACAGTACTACTAGTGATAAAGGATGCTTGAACATCAATACTGCATTGCAAGCATTTCAGGTTGTAGGTTTCTTTTGGTGAAAATCGAACCATTCCAAACGAACAAATAGATTTTTTTTTATTTCTCTCTGCATACATGTACAGTAACTGCATTTGTAATTAGTACATTTGTATATAATGTATACAAACAAGGTCCTTAAAACAGATTACTGCATATATTTATTTTTCGGTTTCTGCATGTTTAATTATGTACATCCCAACTGAATGGTGCATGTTTAGAATGCGACCAATTTCAGAATAAATGGGTCAAATTCCCCCCGATGATTCATTAACAAATATCGAACCATTCCCAAAACAGAACTATTCCTCCACAGAGGGGGGAAACAAATTCCAAAAAAAAAAAAAAAAAGGAAAAAAATCCAAACATGAGAGAAGGGTCTACCCAGAGATAACAAGCAATATTAAACGGAAGGAAAACTGATTAAATTTCACACCTGTGTTTGCATTGGGACAATTTGGCCTGGGCTGCCACAAAATCAATATGTTGTGATGTGTCATTGGTGATTAAGATAGCACAAGTCCTTAGCCCAATAGGACGCCTCCCCAAACCCCCCCCCCCCCCCCTTACAATTTTCTCCTCGATTCAACAGAACGCTGACATGTTTCCATCAGAGAACACAATGGTTGCACCTGCCTAACCAAGGGAAAATAATTAACTTACTTTATTTTCGCTCTCGCGACACATCGTGTCTTACACACACACACAAAAACAGGAGAAAAACAAACGCCGCGCAGGGTCAACTCGGAATTAGGAAGAATTATTGGACGGAATTCAAATAGAAGCCCATTATTTGTCTACTCTACTCTCCAGTCCGCAAATAAGTTGATGGGACATCCAATAACACACACAATTACGCACGCAAGACGTAAGGACATTCTCCGAACCATTTTTTTTCTTTCTTGGAATGTTCACAGCAGAGATCTTGAATTTGCAAACCTTTGCCTTCGACTCAAGAATGAAAGGCCATTTTTAACTAACATTAACAACCCTCCTTTTGTTTGATCAGTCACAGGCTGTCAATCCTGTTCCCCTGCCATGCCTTTTACACAGGCTAGTCACCAACAGTCGGATCATATTTCTTGTAGGCACTGTGACAGTCAAATTCCATCAACAGACAAAAGCAGGTGACTGGTAGGCACAGCTGGCTTATCAATCTCCTACAGTCAAAGCATACGGTAGCTGTATCAGTTTTCATAACAATCACAGCCAGTCAATCCTGCTTTATGAAGGCAGGGAGCACTCAACTGTTAAAAACAGCCACATGATATGTTTTAGATCAATTCTGTTTTAACCTTTTTACTGGTAAAATTTCCATAAAAGATGAAAGGATGAATTTGTTCAATCATGTCGTAAATTATCCCAAATTTCATAAGGTCCTCTCAAGGCACCCTACTTAAAACTAGATCCAACGAAAGCAATGTAGAAGCCTGCTGAATCTCACAGAATCCAACAGCGAGCACTAAAGATCTTTTGTTCTTGTTCTGATCAACAAAATTCACAGAATAGCTCGCCCATTCGAAAGCGCTGGATTAAGCATGTTTCAGAATATACAACAATATGTACATTATAACATCTGCTGAGTACTCGAATGTAATTATTTGCAGAAAATTGTTGTATTAGTAAGGCCTACCACAGGAAAATATAATTACAGATATATGTCATTGACATTTCACAAATCCCCCATATTCCCACTTCAATTTGTGGGGATCTATCCATGTTTATTTTTCACACCTTAGAAAAACAACATGATTGACACTGTACATGCAATCTGTTTTTCTAAGCGATGCGTTATTGATCTGCAAAACTAACATGAAATGCTGGGTCCCCTATCGACCTGTTCAACGTTTCTGTCCGCACATTTATGTGTGGGGAATGTATGAATTATTGGAGGCCGTTCAAAAGACAAACGACAAATATCCAATAACGGGGGAAATTGCAATAAATGTTGGCGACAGAATGCAAATGCAAAAATAGGAATGAATGACATGTAGTTGGTTTAAAAATCTGTCCAACAATGTGTCAGT